CTATTGTCCAGATGAGCTGAATGAGATGCAGATTCACTCTCTGCCAACAGGTGGCGCTTAAAGCGTTTCCTTGGTTTCCGCTGTAAACAAAGCAGCGCGGAACTTAAGAACTTTAATATGCATTATACAGAGGCTAGATGAAAAGAAAAAATACCATCTAAACTTTTCTAAAGACAGTAAGTTCCCCTCAGACATACATTCATATAAACTCCTACACCTAAATTAATCGCGATTTGTTTAGCATCTCAACCGATTTGAATCATCACATATTTGAATCGATTTTCAACCGGCTTGCGGTTAATCGTTACATCCCTACCTGCCAATATTCTAAGTTAAGTAGTCTTTCTAAGTGAGAGCAATGTGAGGTTTTCTTTTTCTTTCTTTTAGATGTATTTATGTATCTATTTATTTATTTATTATTGTTTCATTTATTTATTTATTTATTTTTTATTGTGGTTTGGTTTTATTTTATATAATTGACAGCATCACCACATTAGGTTGTATTTACACTGCAATGCCAAATTCACAGACCTGATCATTTGGATCAGCAGCCATTGTCAGTCAGACAGTACTCAATTCAATTTGAGCCTGTACTACCAATGCTGCAGAAAGGCTGGTACTGTTCTAGTATCTTTATTTTCATATTGGTACTTGGTACTAAAGCATCGGTAGCCTACATCTAACATACCTACAATGTTCATTTTCATTTAACCGAGCAATTTAAGATTGATTTGACTTGGGTTGGTACCCTTCCTCTGCCAGGAACTGCTTTATATTTGGCACCGCATATCTGTCCTCTATAATCACATGCTTAATAACTAGCCGGCTCCCTTGGTTTGTAACCACCTGTCTACTTTGACACCCGATATTCAAACAAAGCTAATCAAAACACATGCCAAATCTTTTATCTTCTAATCTGTACTCATTGCCTATGCCACTCATGTGCCTTGTTTAATAATAGTCGTACTTTGTTTCAAACCTTGGTGTGTGTGTGTGTGTGTGTGTGTGTGTGTGTTTGTGTACACTAAATATGATTTAAGGCACTGCACTCCTTCAGCTGTTGGAGTTTTAGTTGGAGTACGTCTTTAGTGTTTTGTTTTGTCAAACATGTAGACTTTGTAAACCTTTTTTTAAAGAAACTTTTGAAAGAAATGTTGCCATTTATATTCAAATAAAAGTTTACATCAATTAAAAGCATTCTCTCTCTCTCTCTCTCTCTCTCTCTCTCTCTCTCTCTAGCCACGTGCTGATCCCATACCCATATGCAGCTTCTGTTTGGGCACAAAGGAGTCCAATCGAGACAAGAGGCCAGAGGAGCTGCTGTCCTGTGCTGACTGTGGGAGTAGCGGTAAGACCCATGTTTGAACTCTCAGCCTAAACAGTGGCTATATATGGGCAGTGCATCATCTGAACGTCTGTGCCAAATAGCCGAAAGCAAGTTATCATATAACTAGGAATGTTATTGGTTGAAGTGTGAATCAAACTTCGTAACTAACCATTTAGCTGTAACCAAACCAGCAATTTTTGTTTGGACACCTGCTTATTTATAACTGTCGGTTATGTTGAAATATTAGGAATTCTTTTTTAGTTTAATGATTTTTTTTTTATTTTTTTAGTGGTACAGTATTTCAATCATCAGCAGTGTCAATTGATATCACATGATCATGTGATTGAGTCAAATCCAGAATGGAGTTTGACAGAGATAGTGATGTGCCAAAATGAAAGTTTTTGGCCAAAACAGAAACTGTACATTCATTTCGATTATGAACGTGATATTGCCTAGCTTGTCAGTGAACTACGGCTCTGTGTATTAAATGCCGCTCCATTTGAAAGCAGGTGATGCAGCCCTCTACGGACACCTTGGCAATTGAATCGCCATTGGCTAGTAAATTTTTTTGTTTACTCGCCAGACTGATATACTAATATATATATATATATATATATATAAAAAGTTATGCCATTTTACAAACATATATAATGTTTGTAAAATGGTACAGCTTTTTAAATATCTGAAAGTACACTCTTAATATCAGTCAG